TTGCTGGCAGAAAAGAAAAATCTAAGGTGACCGCGAGATAACAATAATCGGCTGCCCGAGTCCTTTCTCTCTCAATCAAACTGGATTAAAACGACTTGCTGTATTAATTCGCGTTACTGGGCGGCTTCCGCCGCGCTTAAAGCGCTTTTTGTCGAAGCGAACGATCGGTTTAACTTTACCGAGACTCGGTACACGGCGAATACACGACGAAGTGGAGTTACGTGCGAAACGGTGCGTGCCACAGTGCACATTCCGCGATGCTGCCGCAATCGGCGCGATTCAACTTCGCGTCGGTTTTCTGCGAATCTTTTCGGAGGAGCATCTTTTCCCCGTCGAAAGGGAAGCGAGAGCTTTACGAGTTGAACGCGTAACCATCGATTGTCGTCGGTATCCGAGCGAAAGGAACAATAACTCTCGGCCGAATTACGCACGCTGACGTAACTGAAATAATACGAGGAAAGAATCTCTTTTCCCGCTATTGACATTCGACGCACAGCGGAGAACCTGAACGGGTCCACGTCCCCGCGTGTTCACTACCGTTTTTCACAGCTCTCTCCGGTACGGGGGGAGCCACGAATGCAGAGTAGGAACACATAATTCCACTATTACCGTACTTTTCGATCGACGCGCCCGCTCCCGCCTCTCCCCGTTCGTACCGCCATTTGATTATTCATCGACAGCTGTCGGGAATGAATATTCATTTCTCAGGTATTTTACGTCCCGCCGCGGCCGACTGCAGTCGACAGTCGTCGGACTTATTAACATCGGAGAAATACACGCGCGGATAAACACATAGAAATCCGTGAACGAGAAAATCGTCCGCGCCCGGACTCGTCCGCTCCGCGCGCCGCGCCGGTGATCGCGCGATGCTATCGACCCGCGGGGCGCGTTAACATTCCTAGGCGAAGTTCTCCTGCTAAGGAAGACGAACGTATCCAGAAACGAGATTCCACCGGTTGAATTCCTCGATGATTGATCCGCCGGGGCGGCAGCCTGACGTCGCGGCGCGAGTGCACGGAATGTTTAACTCCAATTACCTGAGCCTCCGAGATTAAAGTAGTCGCGCTATTACCGAGGACGGTCCGTCGTCGTCGTCGTCGTCGTCGTCGTCATCGGGCATCGCGTTTGGGTAGCTTCCAAGTCGGACTAAACGCACCGCTGCCACTCATCCCGGCCACTTTACGCGCGTGAACGTACGAGTACGCGCCGTATTTGCGCACTCACGTAGGGCACGCATTACGCAAAGAAAGCAATTAGGCGGCGAATAGTGGACGTGCGGCGGAACTAGACGGTTCATTGATTTCCCCGTGCGAGCGACGCACGAACGACGGCGGGACACGGGTGTCTGTTGGGTGCCTGGCCTGTGTGTCGCCAGGTTGCGTGATTTATGTAAATCAGAATTGCCGATCGTGCGCGCGCGCGCGAGCGAATAATTAAGGTGGTCGAAAGCGCGTCGTATTTAAACTCGATGCTGCGTGGCGTTCCATTGGAAAACGTGTACGAATTTGCATACCTCGCGTGCCTGACAAAATTCTACCCAACGTTTCATTGTGACGATAAGAGCGCGAATCGCTGATAACAATATCACCTCGCGGATCGCGATCAAAATGTCAGCGGGGAGAAAGCGATGGTTCGGAACAGCGTGAACTCGATCGGCCGAATCTCGCGGCGGTTCCGAAATTCGGGAAACCGTGGATCTCGCGACGGAGCAGCCTGCGACGCGTTTATCTCCCTTTTCTTGTACTCCGTACGTTTCGTACACTAATTAGGCTCAGCCATTAGTGCTGCATCCGTCGCAAAGAAGTGCGTGTCATTTCTTAGACTCGCTCGCGGATCAGCTACTGCTGCAACGGTATCTCCGGTTGCGTCTGCGTTAAGTAAAAATGTCGCGAAAGGACACTCAGATGTTTATTGCAGATTTTTGCAAAAGGACTTGTCGCCGAGGCTGTAATTAATACTCACTAATTTTGCGCTCAATTAATGGACGCATGTCTCGGTTTCGTTATTGTAATACCGGTTCTACGAGAGCAAGTTCTTACGGCATAATATACCGGGGGGACGTCGCATTTATTTTATCCGATTACCTACACATTTAAAATTGCGCGTTCATTCTGTTACACAAGACTACTCGCGCAGCTATTCGTATGTAATGCCATTGATACGCAAGCATCGGACATTCTAACGTCATTTTTCCTCACTCGCCTCGCAACGCGAACTCTGCACTGAAAACAAATTTCGGTTGCATTAATTAGAAATCTGGTGGATTCAACCTGTCGTCTATTAGAAAATGGACGAATCGTAATTCCTTTAGGATTTACTAGACGTGTAGTGAAGTCTATCAAACTTCTGGTTATGAAATATCGAGCCCTGTCGTGATAACCAGAAATTCTGTTTGATTTAACCAAAATACGTTCTATCGTACATGTCTCGTCGATACAGTCATAGCATTTTTCTCAGTGTGAAAACAATGGAATCGTGTGATGTCGGGTGTCAAAATTAACTTGCTCGAAAAGTGTCCTGTTTAATTTTAAGTACTTTTTTTCTTTCCCTCACTGAAAAGAAAATTTTCGCTACTATAACTAATCATGGTTTGCTTGAAATATTTTGCTGTCGTAACTATAAATTTCTAAACCACAGCAAACGGTTCGCTATCGCATCTAATACAATAGGCACAGTAGCAAAATATTTAGCTATCACAACTAAATATTAGCTGTCCATATTTTACAACTGAAATTTAGTTGCCACAAGCAGTTTTTAGCTACGGCAACTACATTTTTCTTTCCGTGCTGAATGCGGAAAGGATATAAAGCCACGCCGACTCAATTAAATTTATACCAATTTCTTTCTTAACACAATTTCATTGTGTAATCAGATCGACGATAATGTCTTTAGGAGTGCGCGACTAAACTTTAAATGGAACGGCGGTTCCAGCGAAGTTTATCCATCGGTAGATTTCCGTTGAAGTTCAGTTAAACTCCGAGCGGTTATAGGTGTGTCCTCGGTTAACCCGATTTCGTCGTCTAGGGATAAATGTATTCCGAGGAATGCAAATAGGATCACACTTTCTAGCGGCCAAACGCATGATCAAAGTTTCGGCAAAGGTCAGCGTGGTCTAATTAGGAGAACAGTATTTTTGGATCGGCTCTCCTCTCGATTCAGGCAGGCGACTCGGTTTTCTCGGTGTGTGTGTGTGTTTTTTTACGTTTCAAATATTTTATTGAAACATTCTTCGGGCGTTTAATCCAAATGCAATCAACTTTCCGCAGTCGGAATCATCGCGTAACACGAAATACCGAGAGAGATAAATAATTAGAGCCGAACTGTCCAAGAATACCGTCTACAAGTACTTTAACAATTTCTGATAGACGGTGCAGGATCGCTGGAATGAATTTAGAACGCACCAAGTCGGACGTTCGCGCAATCATCCGCACACTGTTACCGATATCGCAACGCAGCGATGCAGCTCTATCGGCACCGGTCTCCGGAGCAGTGATCGGAACGCTGCTTATCGAATAGACAATTCGGGACAGATATCGAGTTGCAGCAGCGACAGCCGACCCCGGATCGATTGCTCGGCAGCCGCGCTGATTTTGCGAAATTTTCGTCTGAATGGCATGTTGAAACGCGCGATCGAAACAGTCTCTCGGTATCAATCAGACGGATTCCGTGAATGGACACCCGACGTATATAATTAGCATCGTTTAAGAAACTCGACACGGTTCAAGGGTAACATTCGATTATACATTCATTAATTATAGGCGGCACGAGATATCCATCGCTTAGACGCGACAGGATTGAAAATCTGTAACCGCTAAAGAGCCGCCGTAATTTTACAAATAATTAACAAATGAATCCAGTCGGACTCAATCGATGTCCGAATAATGAAAGGAGAGAGCGACTTAATTGAGAGCGTTTAATCGTTGCAATTAAAAAGTCTAATGAAATGAGAGAAAAAGAGTTTGCCAAAAAAAGAGAATTGCAAGTATATGTATTGAAATAGGATAAAAAATATAATAATGTTGCTGCAATTTACTATGACATACAAATCGTTTGCAACAGTAAACTAATTTTATAAAAGTGATCCAAAATTTATTTACAAATTGTTTACTGTTGTAAATAATTTATAAGTAAAATTTGGATTACTTTTATAAAATTAGTTTTCGAACAATGAAAAGAAAGAGCGACTCGAGAGCGTTTAATCGTTACAATTAAAAAGACAAATGAAATGATAGGAAAAGAGTTTGCCTCGAAAAGAGAATTGCAACTATATGTATTGAAATATGATAACAAACACGATAATGTTGCCGTAATTTACTGTGACATACAAATTGTTTGCAACAGTAGACAGTAATTTTACAAAAGTCATACGAAATACTTTCTAAATTCGTGGAATGACATACTGGAAAGTAATGGAGCTTTTGTAAGAATGCAATAGTTCGTTGAGTAGATTCTTCAGTTGTTAATTAGAAAGGCGACAAGCTGTCAATTTGTTACTTTATCGTGCGCGGGAATGGGACCGACATGATTTAATTTAAGATATCGTTCGGCAAAAAGCATACGTCGATACTTATTATTAGCTGTCTAAAAATGCCGAGGGATGCCAGTTGGAGACTGAAATAAATTCGACGCTGTTTCGACAACGTCGCATAATCGGCGTGTATTGAAGACAAACTTGCCAGGCAGCTTTAATTAGTAATACCACTCTAACGCCGATCAGGATTCGATCCAAACTTTGTAACATATTTCGTTACATAAAGCCTTATCGAGGTCTCAGTCGTTTCGATTTATCATTTTCGCCAGGCCCGCAGATTCAATAAATTACGGGAGGGTGAGTGAAATCACGGCGAGTATTGTTCAAGTGCAAACTAACGCGTTTCTTCAAGTCGACCCACTTGGAGTTTACTAGATTGACGTTAAAAGTTGAACTTTCCTAACGCGCGATATTTTAGCCTGCGACCTTTCGTCGACGGCCGAGCGGTAGCATACGAAAGCGTACTCACTGTAGTCCGAAGTGTGGTCGTTGGAGCCGTTGACCGTACCGTCCGGCAGGATCTGCAGATGCCGATTCTTGATATACATTTGTATCTTCCCTCTGTACGGCCCGGTCATGTAGGAGAGATTGGCCGATCTCTCAGCCCGAATGCCCGCGTCACCGACCGGATCGATCGCCCTCGCGTTCACTGCACCGATAATCCCGATCCCCAAAACACTCAAGCCGTTCGCGATCGGTCTCGCGTTGACTCTAAGCACACTGGACGAACCGAGCAGCCCGTATCGTCCGAACGCGATGAAGAAGAGGAGGACGACCAGCCGCAGGAAAGGGTAGACGCGACACGCGCGTCCGATCCGCTGCCTGTTCGCGGAATCCCGACCGATCTTGCGCCACTCGTCCCGCGGACGTGCATCGCGTCGCCCCGAAGAGTCCGCTCGCCCGCTTTCGCCCGTCCGCGCGTCGTCGAATCCCTCGCTGAAAAAGCCCTCGTCGACGTCCACGAGTCCGTCCCCGTGGGTTTCTTGGTTCGCGCGAGTACGCGAGCGGTGACTAGAGAGAAGAGAGTGTCCTCTTGCAGCTGGCGTCCCTCCCGGACGATCGATCGGACCCGCGTCGGGAGTCTCGCTCTCGCGGGACGGCGGCCGCGGTCTCGTCCAGGATCGATCCCGGAGACTTCGACGCCTCGCGATCGGACCGCCGTTCGCGTCCGCTATCGCGCGCCGATATCGTCCCGTCTCGTCGCGTAGCCGCGACTCCGCTCGCTCGTCGCCCGCGTTCTCTCGCAGGTGCCACGTGACCGAGAAACGCTCGTCCTTGGTGACATCCTCGATCGCGCGCGGAGATTCCCTCGGCGCGCGACATGCTCCGAGGAGTCCGGCACCGTCTCCTCCTCCACCTCCCGCTCCTCCCCCGCTTCCTCCTCCTCGCCGACGTGACGTTAGCACGCGACTCCCTGCCTGGAAGTCACGTCCGCCTAGGATCCTCTCCTCTTTGTCGCCGATTCTCGGAACCCTCGTGGGTGAACTTTCACCGTGATTAGATGACGAGTTTCCGCGGCCGCGAGCCAACGGCTCCTCCGCCTTTCTCACGCAATTCCCAGCCCTCCGTCGCCGGTCCTTCGGGACCCGTCTCTGCGACCCGCTCGGTCCGCCGTCGTCGATTCTCACGGACAAATACGCGCGATCGCCTTGGCGTGCGTCGCTCGCGGAAGTTGACGCGCGAATCGATGTCGCAGTCGGGCAATCGGCACGGGAATCACAGTGCAGCACCCTATGCCCGCCCGTGTCGATCTCAGCGGGCATGACGCTCTCATCCGGCGTTTCTCCCTTTGCCCTCCGCCCCCCTGTCCGCGTTGGTCCAGCCGTTTCCCGTCGCTTTGGTTTAAATCGCCGTGCACTCGCTCGCTTCCTCCTCGCGACTCCGGCTCCTACCGCCCGCCGCTCTTCCGGACGATCTCGAGGAACGTCGTCGAGTCGCGATCGTCGCCGGCGCGATACCGATGAAGGCCGCACGCGCTGCCAGTTGGCATTACAGCCGACCTCCGGTCACTTCCGCCTCCGAAGGGGGTGCCTCGAGACGACGTGGGTCGCTGGGAACGAGGGATGCGGCTGCCAATCCGCTATTACCGTCCATGCACGTCCGTTGTCGCGTTTTCGGTTCTCTCGCATTCTTGCGGCTGCTCTCGGTCGCACCGGGTACGATGTTACGCGCGCTGATCCTGGTAACAGCCTCGCGGTTCTTATCTGTTGGACCAGCTGACCGCCGGATTCCGGAGCAACGGCTCGCTGTGGACGACGGCTGACGACGGGGCCGGCTCGCGGGGTGACATCGGGTCGACGGTGAATCGCGCGAGCCCCACGACGGAAATCGGCCGCGCGCGTTGTGGCCGAGGATACTCGATACACTGCGAATGATCCTCCGCAGGTTGGCACTGTCGTTTACTTTCGACGGCTCGGTCCCTCGTCTTAACGATCTTTCTCCGAGTTTCTCGCACCCTTCCGCAGCGGTGGTTGCGCGCGGAAAAATCCTCTCGCGAAAGATCGGCACGAACAGATCCCCACGTAACGCACTGTCACTAGTTTGCCACTGGTTATTATTATCCGAAAAGCATCGGGCCCTCCCTCGATCGATGTTTACGGCGCGTGTCACCTCTGTTACAAGTTTGCGCGAATTCGCGTGGCAAATAATCAGAAGCGTGAGAGAGATCGGGACCGATCTGCGGAACCGATCTCCGCGTCGCGAGTGACGAACCTGCACGTGTCACGAGGAGTACTCGAGAAATCTATGTACGGAGCCTACGTTGGCTACCGATCTCCTCAATTCGGGGGTAGACACAGCGAGATCGTCGGGCAATTCGCCGCGACAAAGCTGGGACCAGGCCGAGCTACGCGATCGGCCAGATCTCGCACACGCACGCAATTGTCACAGGGGGGGTCGCGGCCACGCGCGGGGTTATCTCGCAGGGTCGTCGGATGGTGCCGGTGCGGCGTCCGAGAAACTACTGAACGAGTGCCGCAGTTCTCTTCCCCGACTCGCCGGGTTCGGGCACGCTCCTCGGTTCGCTCTCGTAGAGAGACCGAACCGGCGCGGCGGCGGCGGCGGCGGCGGCGGCGGCGGTGGCGGCG